TAAATTTTATTTCAAAAATTTAATATACCTGTCTACCTTGATTAAAATAATTTTATATGAAATTTGGATTTTCAGTCTCATTCGAATGCCACCTATCATTATTAAAATAATTATATAAAATAGGGAGAAGGCAGAAATTAAACATCTTAATAAAGAAATTTCAATTTTTGCACATTTTAAAACTCGCTTTAGAAATTTTTTCTCGAATAAAAGATGGATATTCCTATGGTTAATACGAGTTCTATGGTGTCGTAGTAATTCTGCGTATAGCAAATAATGTGTCCCAGGACATCTGTGTTTGACGTGAAATTATTACAGCTAGTATTCGCATTCGAAACTCTCTGTATGCATAAATCGCTACGTAAATCAATGCCACCAACAGCTCGTAGCTCTACCGGATAAAAAAGACCCACATGGTGTAACGGGGAACGTAAATGAACTCTCGAAGCGAAGGAATGATTATCAGTGAACGTGTTGATGATATCAAGCGAGGAATTTCAGATTTACGTGTTCATTAAATCGCGTGTTACATGAGTAGTAGATATACCATTGTATAAAATGGATTTTATTTCTCGTACTAGATTTCTTAGAAATATCGATTTGAAAAATTTGTCAAAGTAGGAAATTGTCAGGTGACATTTGGTAAATGAAAGATTTTTTATTTTATTACTTTCTGTTTGCAAAATCTGCGTTATCAGCTGTCTCCGAACACGTCCAGTGACACTACATATAAGAATCCGACAGCAGGACGTACATTGGAAAACATTAAAGAATTTACTACCAGCCATTTTACGATATGAATTTTCTTTTATTAAAGTCATAAAGTAAGACTTGTGTCTCTTGAAAATTGAACGCTGAAATCATTAACACATAATGTAAATAATTTAGGTTTCTTATTTTATTCTTGACTCTAATATAAAATAAATCAGTGCAAACTCTGCACAACACCAATATTCCTTACCTTTCATAATCTTTCTTTCATATTTTTAATATGTCAACAATCCATTGTTAAATAGTAAATTGAAACAGAAAAAAATAAATGGAATAAGGCAACGAGCTAATCACCTACCAAGTTCATTTAGATTAAGGATTATCTCTGCGGAATCCAATTTAATGTAAATGCATTCGACACGGAATCCAATTAGAATCTCCTGCAAAATATCGCCATATTTCCGATATCCGGCGACCATTTACGCAGAAACTAGTGAAATAAAAAAGTATTCGAATGAATTTCATGATACACTTTATCGCAGTGATTGATATTCGTTCTAACAAATTTGCTCGTAATTGAAGACTATACGTACTAATTAAGCCTCGAATGGCAGACCATGGAGAAAGCTACAATTTAAATTAAATTTTTTATTTCACCTTATATTAATTTCCTAAATTTTACACTCTTTTTTTAAAATTATTCTTCCAGTATATAAAACCTTTTTGTTTAAAAATTATACATTTAATTTTAGGTGAATGCTCTTGTATGCGTTTTGTAAATTTCGGTTTGTAAATAAGTTTCTTTAATTAACACCTGTTTATTCTACGTTTCATTAGCGAAACTTCAAAGAAAGAAAATTTTCTCCCGGAACTTTCACACGCCCTGCAAGCATAAAATTAATGATCCAACATTTCCGGTTTGTAGACGGGGGTGAAGAAAATTCTTAAAGAAAAGTACATTCGATGAATTGATCAATGGCTATAAATATGTTGAAATTACGGTTAAATTGTTACGAAGAGACGCGTATTTTTACCCATTCAATTCCGGATCATCGACGTTGAAAATCTCGACGAAGCGAGAACATTTCGCTAAGCAGCTTTGTTCAAACTAAAGTGCTATGTGGCCTACGCTTATAACGTCGCACGGAGGCTAGCTAGGTTAACGAGCACAGAATGAATTATAAAAGAGTGGCCACGATGACGTCTTTTCTTTCTTCCTCTGGTAGGAGAAAAAAAATGTTGCAACGATTATGCAGGAAATTTCGCTTCTTGGGTGAAAATGTCGGGGAAATTAAAAAAAAAAAGGAGGGCGTTTAAGCGGGAATGAAGCAGGCTGCTGGCAAAGGTGGTATATTCATAAATAATACAGTTCAGTACACTCTGGTTTCTGGCTTCATTAAGCCCCTTTCGGAATTATTTAAAGAAAAATGTTTCGCTTGAGTTTGGGAGAAGGCTTGCATATTGTATGATTTCTTTTCGAGCGTAAAAGTCTCGCACGATTTCAGAGAGAAAAGTATTATAAAATAACGCTTGTGATATGTCAAATTAAAGCTTGAACTTTAACAAAAATATACATATAAATGATTCATTGATATTCTTAATGCAAGAGAAGTAGTTGCGCATCGCAACAAACAATGTTTCTGTACTACGTAAAATATCTAATTTCCAAAGGTGAAAGTTCTGAAAGAAATTCATGACACAAAAGTGTAACAAGATGGTACTTGCAATACATCAAACGAAAGTTTAAAGCTTAATGAAAAACAGAACACAGACGCTTCATCATTATTCTTAATATAAAGTAAACAAAAGGGTTACTAAAAGGACAATTCAAGAGTGATCAAGTTTCCAAGCAACAGATGCGAGGTATTGAATATCGATGTGAAGCCGCGAACCCATTAAATACCATCGATTCTCGATTGCTTTTCAGCGAGAAATCGCAGAAAATACAAAATGACAACACCCTTCGGGGCGGAAATCGTTGACTCGTGTACCGCTCAAAGATCTTCAGCTTCAATTGAGAATAAATAAAAGTATCGAAATTGTACGAGTGACGATGGGAAATTTCTAAATTTACCAAGAAGTCCTCGAATGCATAGAAACAACCTGATTTTCGTCTATGCCGAATTTTACTTTCAGATGCCTGATGCTAATACGTTTAGGCAAATTGCTTCGTAGATTACAAGGAAGCCTCGTTCTATGAGCTAACGAATTACGTTTCGAACCTCGAGGGACGCTGCTTTGATCGATCCCCATGGAATACGAAATGATGTGCCACTTATGGATTAAATACAGGAAACCTACACTACAATGCAGTCCATGGATACTTTAAGTTTCGTCGAAATTCACTGTTTCACCATTTAACCCTAATTTTAATATATGCAAGCAATTATTATTATATCATTACAATAATTATTATGCTAATTAATTTTTTTAACCAATAACTGAATTTTGATTATTTCACGTTTACTAGCTATGTACGGGTACCCGAAAATTTGGGTACTCGAGCCTCGGGTCGGGTAATGTTTAGGTCTCGAAATTTCGGGTACCCGAACAAATGTATGTACTGGACAAATTTCCAAGGTCCTGAATCCAACAAAAATTCCTGACCCGAATTCGACCTGAATTTTCGGATAGCCGCACATCCCTAATGTTTATTAATTCAAATCCGAAATGGGTCAAATCGGGTTGTGTGAAAATACCGGGTTGTTTAACAAGCTGCAGGTTGAACTTTCCGCTCGAATACTCGTCAGCTTCTGCTCGTTAACGCTTGAAGGGTAAAGGTGAAACTTACCCCTAAAACGGCACCCCCTATTATCGCGTGCTATCCCTGCAAAAACCATGAATTAGGAGAAGGTGAAGGTGAGACTTACGGAAGGCACTTCAACATTTTCTGTTGTTGCATAATGAACGTATACAAAAACGTATGAAAGTTTTAATTACTCCCTTCGATCCGATAAATCATTTTTAACAAGAGTATGCTATTAATGTATCATAAATAAATATTTGTGATCCGTGCAATATGATCAGAAAATGATTCCATTGTTCTTTTCTTTTTTTTTTTTTTACGATGCTATGAATGCTCGAGGTTTTACGAGAACGTAAAAGCAGGGTCGAGAAGGACGAAAGGAAAAATGATGGCTGGATTAGTTTGTCCTTCTCTCCGGGCTTAACAGTCGGACGAATTTAATTTGAAAGCTGAGTTAATTAGTAATCAACAGGCAGCTGTTGAAACCCGGAAATGAGGTGACGCTTCGCTATTGTTGTTTCGAATGAAGCTGACTCATAGAAATTAGAGAAAATCAAAAATTTTCTTCTTTTTGTATTTAGAGGTTCCCTTTGGAATTGATCCACATCCTCAATCCGTTGCTACAAATTTCTTTTTTTTCCCTTCTTTGCTCCTTTATATCAGAGATATTTCTTCTGAAAGGGATTCCTCGAGGCGTGCCGAGAGAAGCAAAGTGCCGCCTTAAAAATAGGACGAAAATTGCTCCACGAAATACGAGGCTGGTAATTAGACTCGCCTAACTGAGAGCACGTGTCATCAGTAGTGTAGCAGCAATGATTCACGGCTTTCTTTGTTACCACCACCCGCGACAGTGTTCATTCTCTTCTTTCGTTTTTAAGACATTTTTGATTCAACACCGGGTAGTATATATCTCGTACAAATAGTGTTTAATTTTAGCAGATGTCTCGAACAAAGCTGAAACAGAGCAATGCGGTATTCACACGGGATATACAGTCTAATCAAGATAGCTTCAAAGAGAATCGTATACACGCGTGCTTCAAAGTCTATGATTAAATCTCTTAGCGATACACTTTCATCGAGTAACTGCTGGCAAATCTATGACAATTTCGTAACAGAAATGTGTCATTAAATGATGCTTATGATACATCAATTTAAAGCTTAAAAATTAATGAAAGTAACTATATAAATGCCCCGCTGTTATTCCAAGTACAAGCTGAGTAGTAGTGGAATGCAACAAACAGTGTTTTTATACCATTTTCAAATGTAAAAATTTGAAAACAATTAAATACCACTTGTGATATATCAAATTAAAGCTGAAAAATTAACAAAAATAACTATATAAATGCCCCACTGATATTCCAAGTACAAGCTGAGTAGTATTGAATTGCAACAAACAGTGTTTTTATAACATTATCAAATATCCAATTTGCAAAATTTTAAAACAGTTAAATACCACTTGTGATACATCAAATTAAAGTTGAAAAATTGAGGAAAATGACTGTACAAGTGACCCTTCGCTAACTTAATTATTTTTAATTTTCAGATATTCCAAAGGCATCCGAAGGCAGCTCAGCGAAAGTAGAATCTCAAGAGGCGTCACAGGGAAAGACAGAAGAGAAGGATTCAAAGGAGGACAAGAAGGAAGAGAAAGTAGCGGAGAAAGAAAGAGAGGAGGCCGCGACTAGGATACAAGCGGCATTCCGCGGTCATCACGCTAGGAAGAGTATGAAAGAGACTGAATCATCGACAAAGCAGACGGGGACCAAATCAGACTCAGAACCAACGGAAGAACAACTTCAACAAGAGTTCCGTGCCGACGACAAGGGTGAGTGGGTCACGTACGAACCCTTCAAATCGCCTCCCAAAAGAACGTCTTTGATTTTAAAGATTCCCTGTCTGTCTTTTCACGTTTCTTTGAATTTAAGACCACATCAGAATTCAACAGACGATTCCAGCCAATTGAGAGAAATCGTAGGAAAATTCTTTATCTACAAATTTAAAAATCGCTGTATCTTCGACGACGATTGTTGTAGAGGTAATGGAAATGGCTTTGGAATTTTGAAAATTTCAGCGAATTCATGGAAATCAGATTTTCCAATTACGCTACAAGGTTTCTGACAATGATAACGATCGAGTTTATCGGGAAATTCCTAGCCATGAATGCTAAGCTGGTTATCCTGCAATTTTCCATTACCATGATGAACGTATTTTGCTCCTGGCAATTGACCAATTATCCACCGCGTACCATTCACCGTGAACTACACTGCCGTTGAAAAAGTTTCGACCAAAAGACATAGACCTTTTGCTAAATTTCATGGTGAAATGTATTTTGTAGGCTGGCCTACTCGACAGACTCGAAACGCCCAATCCTGTTTCCTCCGTCTGTCGAGAAGTATCGATCCCAGCCTATCGACAGGAAGTTAAGGCTATCTTTTTCTCTCGTTGACAGAGCTTTGCGAGGCAGCGACGAAAATCCAGGCATCCTTCCGAGGCCACATGTCGAGAAAGGAGCAGGCTGCTGGTATCGTCAAATCGGCTGAGAACGCCGTTGATGATATCGCGTCGAAAATGGACGAAAAGGTAAGTCCGTTCGTTCTTATCAGTCATAGAATATTGTTGAAGAAAGCTATAAAATTTTTAAGTTCTTAGGTTCTATAATTATAAAATTCAGAAATTGTTAAATTGCAAAATTTCTAAGGAAGCTGGGCCATCCCCCGAAAAATCCTAGTCACCACCCCCTTGGCTAAAATGATCAGGAATTGCTCTGAAATTCCATAATGCAATATTACAGAATTTTATAAGTTTTTCCAAGTTTCTAAGAATTTTTATTGCATGGTCATTTCTGCAACTAGGTTGCAACCCATAATAGGCGTTAAAGTAAACCCGGCTTAAAATTCAATGGCTCGTCCCCTTGGGATTAATTGGTAATCAATATTCTATTATCGAGACTAATATCGTACTTGATTAGTTCTTAATCATAGCCATTATCTTTTTAAAACTTTACAATATCTTTTCATTTTTATTAACCTTGACATATCAAGATATAAAGTATTTATGCAAATTATACAAATCCTTACAGGAATTTCTCATTTTATAATTTAATCGATCTTTTATATCGATAATAAGACACGTGAAAAAATAAGAAACATTTTAAATTATTGAATGGCATAAAGAAGATATGTACAAGCTTCCTTCGGGAAAATGGCGATACAAGGGACCCAGAGATTTTCAAAATCTTATATAGCACCCCTTCTTTAGATTTTCATTCTCCTCAGGAACTCATAAAGGGAAAGACAGGACTTGATCCTTGAGTGACACCACCTGGTATATTAAGGATTAATTAAAAAATTAAGTTTGCCAATTTATAATTTCAAGGTATTTCTCTTTGTCACCGAAAGAAAGTATTTCAGAAATACCTTACGCTACTTAACTCGTCAGATAATTGAAAAACTTCTTACCACTGCGAAGTGGATGTTGCTTTTCAATAACCGTGAAATTAAAGGGCGTGTGCCTTTCATACTTCTGAGAGAGAGGAGCAAAGTCGAGGAAAAAATAAATACGGTCAACAAGCTTTCTCTTGAAACGAGCCAGGGACTAGAAACACACAGAGACAGCAGCGTGCAATCATATTTTCTCGAAATGAAATCCAAGCGACAATGGTTTGAAACAAGGATGAATAATTGATTGCGTGCTTTCGATAAACCAGTTTCGGACGCCTTTGCGACCAATTTTAATCTATTTTCGTCGGACTCCGAATTCGTTCTGTCCACCGCTAAACCAATTGCTAGGTGTGACGTAGAAAACTTTCCAAAATTTATTTCATTCACCCGGCTACACACTCTGATTCGAATAAAATGCCGGACGACACAAGATATTAGAATTTCTCGTGGACCTAAACTATCTTCGTAGCCGGTATCGAGCATATTTTATTAATCCGTGAATAATTGGATTGGCGTGTTTCATAATACACCGTCGTCGTTCGAAGAAACACGAGGGCTTAGAAGTATTTTCTTGCGTGACACCCCTAAGTCTGTGTAGAATTTGCGACGAACCTCGGCTGAAATGTAATTCTAAAAGTGCACAACGGAACGATCGCATTAAGGAGAATCTTTCTTTATTTTTAGGCTTTTAAAGAAATTAAAGGTCCCTCGTACGGTCGTTATGAATTTTTTATTTATTTCATTCTGTGACAATGGTATCGATAAGAAAACGTGCGCGATTGGATTTCCTTGGTTTCAGATGAAATTTGACGTTTTAATCCAGCTCCAAAATTCTGCGAGCAAGGCAAGGACAAAATAGGAGTTTTTCTTAAGAAAAATCGCTGGCCAGTGAAAAATCTCCAGATCTAATTAGCTTGATATCATCAATTCAATACGCTCGAGGATATTTCGAGGGTGCTTCAACTGAACGCGAAAATACAGGAAATGCTGGAATTAGAACGCAGCCGAGAAATTGGCAACGAGATTTACGATTTTTTCTCAATCTTCTTTACGACCAACTTTCTCCACATTTTTTTTTCAGCCTTATTCAGCCATTTCTTATTAAGAATATTTATGAAACCTTTATGTAAACATTTTCTTTGAGCTTTAAGCTTTAATTTCATGTATTAGAAGTGGTATTTTTAAGTACTTTTATGTCATGAAATTTTCATAGATCTCAGAATTGGATATTTGCTACAGTGCAATGGCATTGTTCGTTTCAATTCGCAATTACTCTTCTTGTATTAAGAAAATCAAAGAGACCTTTACGTAGACTTTTTTGTAAAGGTTCAACCTTTATTTTAATGTATCATAGACGTTGTTTCGAGAAACTTTTATGTCATGAAATTATCTTAGAATTTTTACTTTCGGAAAGTGGGCGTTTGATACACTGAAAAAAGCATCATTTGGTATAACTGATCACCATGCCTTCTGTGTTAAAGATATCAATGCAATCTTTATGTCGCCATTTTCGTCAGATTTTACGCTTTGATCTGATATATCGTAAGTGCGATTTCGTGAAACTTTTATGTCATGAATTATCGCCAGAAGTTTCATGTTGCAAAGTCAGCTTGTATCTCCCAAAATCCCCAAACCATTGGTTTCCTTAAAAACTTACCTTGATTTCTTCTAAAAAATTAATGTTTTCAGTAATAATTACTGTTTCCATACCTTCAATAAGAGTATATTAAAAAAAGAGAAAAAAAATGAAAAGGTTTGAGAAACCGAACCCTATCAGAAGTATCCGGCAAGCCTGGTTTTGTGTATACACCCACAGTCGTTTGTTCCTTTATTGCTAGCATCGTTTGTTTCTGCGGTTGCATCGGCATGGAAAAGTTTTCTTCCATCGGGTGCAACGCTGCAGCTCGCCAGCCATTAATATGTGCACAGGAAAGAAAAAATGCGCACACAACTCTATGAGGTAGAAAGAGAGATCAAAAGCAGGAAATGAAAAGAGGAAAAAGGAGCAGGGAAAGAATGGGGAAAGGGAAAAAAAGAGGTTAAAAGTGGAGAAGCCCTGAACAAGCATTGGAAAAAGGCAGAGTGCTATGGAAAATGGGAAAATTGAGAGGAAGAAATGTGATCACGCAAGTAGCGTTAATTTCAAAACAAGAGAATTCAATGTAAACTTAGTTTGTAGTAAAAGAAATGATGGAGTTATCGCATGCCCCAACCTTCAGTTGTAATAGCTTTTTCTTTTTTATTAATAATAACATCTTTACTAGGTCAAGGTTACTTCTTCAATATTAATTTTTTTCAGTTTTCCCAGGGTTGTAAAAATTAAAGAAAAATATTATTATACACTGAACTATTGCTGTTGTTAGATTCGATAGTAATAAATAACGAAACTTCAGAAAAGGGAGGATTTTTCGGACCGGAAATTCTTTTCCCCGGAAGAAAATATCTGTTCACGTTGTGCTCTTCTGAAATCGAATTATGTCACTTCTATTCCGGAAAGGGAATCGATTTGGCAAGCTTGCTTCTTATAAATGTGTGTATGTTTATCATCGATTACAAATATTTCTTGGATCTGGATCGTGCACTTCCAAATGTGCATAGGGCATTCAGAATGTATTTCAAAAATATTATGCAATTCAGTTCAAAAAGTTAAAAAATTAAAAATTCTGTTATTGCAATTATATTAAAAAATTAACTTCGTTTCTTGTTTTTTTTTAGTATGAATAAGTATTGGGCTGTTCCATAACGCCCACTAGAGAATTGCCCCATCTAAAATAGAATTGAGTGTAATTTTCTTTTTCGATTTTGTATTGCAATAAAATTTCATATCCCCCTACGGTATTGCCAGACAATTTTGGCAAGCATCGAGTTTCTCTGCAGTTATTGATTCCATGCCCTGCTAAGCTGTCTGTTTAACTGACAGCTACGTCTACTCAGAAATGCATCAAACTTAAGGAACTTAGTTCCTCGGGTATAATAGAATCGCTGGAAGATTAGAATTCTATGAAAATGTTTCTTAAATGTATAAAATTTCACAAATTAAGGGAATACCGTTTTATCATAATTAATTAAGCGCGTCTGTGTTGAATCTTGATCGCGTTTCATTAACGAGCTTCGCAGTGACTAAAGTTTTACAAGAATATTTCATTCGGTAATTACTAATCATTCCATCGAAGCGAATTAATTTAATTAATGCACCACCTCTGTGCAGTAAATATAGAATCGATAATGAACTTTCAAACGGTGCATGTCGCAATCAAATGCAAACGAGAGAAAATAAATACATATGTATATCATTTTTTTATTCGTCCGTCCACGCAATATCGCGTGTTTTGTCGCTAACGTTTATACTAGGGATGTGCGGCCCGACTAATCAGCCTGACTGTACCCGACCGAACCCGAAATAGTCGGGCTACCCAACTGCACGCATGTATCGGACACCCGCCCGATTTTTTCCGAGCCCGTAATATCGGGTACCCGTACATCCCTAGTTTATAGCCTTCGGCACATAGCAATCGTCTAAACGCACAAACTATATCATTTCCTATCTCGTCCTCGACACAGAAAACTCAATTTATATACGGGAATCTCCTTTATCTTCGTCCCCTTCTTCAATCTCCTCACGCGAGAAAAAGTTTGAGCGACAGCCTCTAATGCGAAAGAAATTACAAACACTGACATTCTGTTTAAAAATTGTTAAATAATTCTACCCAAAATACAATTTAACGCGTTCGATTCCGAAGTAACAGACGGATATTTTAATTTTCCCACAGAATTAGAAGACAAAAGATCCGAGACTATCGGTCGATCGATTAAAGGACCTTTTCCCTAAGGACACTGGATGCGACTAGCAATTTTTCTTCTGTCGAGGCTAGGACAGTATAAAAAACGGTTTCGTGTTCGACTGACCTTAAACTTCGTCAGGGTGTACGTATACAAAGATCCGTAGCACGCGAACCGAATCTCTTTCTTAACTCGCTCGTTTTTCTCTCCCATGTGATATCGTTTCCTAAGAGCAAAGCAGTGCATCGAATGCTCCCGTAATATCAAACTTTTTTCCAACTCACCGTTGGCAAAGTTGGACCACTTCACTGATCGTGGAAAGACTAAGAAAACGAGGGGGAAAAAATCATTAAAAAAGTTTCCAGGGAATACGTGAAACCAGTTGCGTGTTGAAAATTTCTAACATTCTTTCAGGAATATGTTCAAGGTTTTCTTTAACCGGTACTTCCCTTATTTATGTTACTTAGAGAGAATTTATTGACGATTTCGACGCAGTTGCAAGATTTATTCCTCCACTTCCCGCAGGATTTAGAAGCATTTCGTCTGAAATTACTGGAGATTTCTTGCTGGAATTACCTTTAACTCTTAATAATTCGTTTATAATTAATGACGCGCCAGGTGTGTCATTGTATATTTAATACAAAGTAGGTAGCGACGCACCAGGTGCGTCATTATATATACAGTGACACATGTGGTGCGTCATTCAGTGTTTGATACAAGATAACCAGTGATGCGCCAGATGCGTCATTTTTATACTCAATACAAAATAAATGGCGACGCACTAGGTGCGTCATTTTTATATGTACTAGATACAAAATAAACGATGACGCACCCCGTGTGTCGTATAGTGCCGAATATAAAATAAATGGTGACGCAGCACTTGTGTCATACAGAAGAAATTCATATTCCAATTAAACGTGTTTAATTCGTGATTCGGCATGCGATCTGGAGGTTACAAGTCACTCGTAAAAATCCTCTATTATATAAGAAGGCTGGTTTCGTGTAGAAATGCTGAGACAATGGTAATTAGAAGGTCGGTGGAAAATATTGATTCATGAAAGTTCGACGGCAGCCAGTTTTGCACACGGTGCTAGAGAACTGGCGGATTCGATCGTTAAACGTTTAGGAATGTAAAATTATTCCAGTACACGCGAGAACTCGAGCTATATTCAGTGGACTTGTAATTACAGTGGCTCTCATGACGAATTAACCGGTCATTGAAGATTCGCCAATTTGATCGAAATAAAAAGGAAGAAGCGTTGGCGGATCGTTGAACGAGGCTTGTAGAAAAAGAAAAGCATTTCCAGCGTGGCAAAGGAGGCAAATATACCGGAGTAGACGCGATATGGGTCAGCTCGAGAGGTTGCAGGTGCTACATATTCACTTGGGAAGAAAGGATGGAAAGGGGGACCGATGAAAAATCGCTTCACCTTCGCTAAGCAACCCGAGAAATCCGTGTCAACGTGCCACGGTAAAATAGACCACAAGAAATAATATTAACGCGGAGGGATGAATTCTCTGCCTGAATTCTTCGAGTGGAAATTTTTTTTTTATACGCGTTCGATACCACTTTCAATGAGAACAGTATTGATTTTACGATATACAGGGTGTCCTGCGAAATAAAAGATAAAAAAATAAAAAGTTGCTGTCCATTTTTCATCCATCGTCTGGACGGATAGCAAACTATTGTTCAAGTCTACTCCGAATTTCGATCAAGTGAATAAACCTGCTCCGCCTCATTTTCATCGAAGTTTCCTGGAGATTAACTGCTCGAGGTTTTCGAACGACCACTTTAAAACAATCAAGAGTGTATTTTGGAAGTTTTGTATGGGTCGAAAGTTCTGTAGCTTGGCAATTTAACCAGGATCCATGAAACTCTGCCTGACCCCATACTGTCCTTACTCCTGACCAATTCTAGTTTATTCTACTTAAAAAATTTAAAATCAGTTTCAATTGGTATCAATTTCAATCTAATTTTGCAATTAGATTGATAGTACGTATAATGGAAGTTTACATTATCTATGGAATATTGTACAATCTATTTGTACAACCAGAGCAAACGATCATTTGTCTGTATACATTTCATTATTCTGTCCACGGTGCTCGATCAAGGTGAAAGTTATTTTCCACGTTTCCTGTTCGCTAACACTTGTGATGAACGGGCACCTGTGTGACCCACATTGTAACACAAATACATTAAACGACATATAGTATACAATCATGATTTCATCACATAAAAGTATCCCAAAATAACATTTGCGATACAATTTAAAGAAAATTACTGTATAAAAATTTCGTGAATATTCTTAATACAAAATGGCTGATGCTTCGTTAAACAATTACTATTCGCTGTGGAACGTTGTTCGTTGCGATCCACAACCAGCCATTTTGTATTACAAATATCAAGGGTGCACTTATACAGGAATTTTCTTCAATCTTTAAACTTTAAATCGATGTCACATAAGTGTTATTCTGAGATACTTTTATGTCACGAATTTTCCTCAACTTTCTACGAACTTCTGAAAGCAGCCAGAGTCAATAGCGTTCCATTTCAAACCCGTATGTTTACTACTCGGTTTCGATCCGCTAAGTCAATTCTCTGGTGAAAAACTTCAACATGAAAATAAGGAATCAAGGAAATGAAACAAGTACATATACGAGAAAAAAGGAAATCGAGCTTTATCCACTTGGTGGAAAGAAAACGTCGTTATTCTACTTCCTATTCCATCCTTCATCCTTATATTCATTGGAACAGGTATTCTAAGACTTTCAGGATTTCCTGTCTTGTACGTGACAGGAAAATGGCCATGCTGGCTATTTAACCCCTTGACCTGGAATTTAATTGCTATGCGTGCGTATTCAGTTCTATGCAATTTCAAGCAACCTACCATTTGGTACAATTTTAAATAATTTTTTAAAATTTACCCTTGACCCTTTCGCTATAGCGGCCTCTGAATTCATTATTGATTATATCTTGCAATTTTTAAAAAGTTTCACCCGTACAATTATAATTTAATTGCCAAGGGGTCACTGATAAACCAAGCTATTAGCAATTTGCGTAATTTGCAAATGGATCTAGAATAGTTTCATGTTTATCATCGTGTTGAGAACATTAACAAGGGCCCAGTGATAATTCCTCGTCAAATTTCAATTCACTCCTGTAATTTCGAAGCTTCCAAACACAACAGTGATCGATGAAGTTCATCGTCGGCTATTGTTAGCCTCTTTGACATTATGTTGATTCATCAGCACGAGGTCGTTAATCAGCCTGCACCTATGGTTCCTTTCAATTCCGTTCCATGATCGTCGAATCTTTCTTCAAACCGAGTCGCATTGTTGCGAACAGAAATAGAGTTGAGGCTCCGTTATCGAAGAGGCTTTTGTGGATATTATGTGGCCTGCAGATTCGTTAATTTCCGGTGAATTTCTGCCTTTTTAAATGGAACTTGGTTACTTTGCTACCTCGATACAATCGTTGATGTAACTAGGATCTCTGGGTGGGGCCAAGTGTTAATATTTTAGATAGTTTAGAATTAAATGATTTTGGAATGATGGAATTCTGGATTTAAACAATTTTTCAATTTATCAATAATTATTTATTAATTTCTTTATTTTTTTATTAAATAGGAATCAGGTTAAATAGTATTTACCCAGTGCACCATGAAAGTATGAAGCATTAAAACTGCACAAAGCTTCACAAAGAACATTGCATATTGATTAACCTTCTTTGTAAATTCAAGAAATCTTTGTTCCATTCATAGATGGCTAAAGAAATTTAAGAAATGTGTTATCACAAATTTTTGAATACTAATTTCATTTGGTCTATTCCCAAGCATCTCTGTACTTTGAAAAATAATTCCTATTTACACCAAATAAATCCTCAAAGAGTACCAAAGAAGAAAAGAGCATGGAAAGCTGGCTTTAAAGTTTAAAGACCCCTCAAAGATTTGAGTATTCAGCCAACACGGGCTGTTGCTTAAGATCACACTTCACCTTTGTAGATCTTAATACTCAAAAACTTTGTTAATGGCTGAATGATCTTCCACTGCTTTCACAACTTTCAATTAACCCCTGTTTAATTAATTTACCATGTAGCTGAATGTACCACCAAAAAAAAACCTTATAAATCAGTGACTATTCACCATGAACATTCTAACCAGTCAACTTTTAAGGCATCAAGCTATCAAAGTAACTCACTGTGAAGAATAACACTGAGTCACGAAAGGGAATACCTTTGTCGTCGATAGCCCTCTCGCACGAATCCCTGATTATTAGCCGGAACACGGAATAAAATAGTTAATCCCTTGCAACGAATTTTGAAAATTTAAAATATCCATTTAGTACTTAAAAATATTAAATTTAATTTGTGGTGTCGACTTGTTTTTTTAATTTTATTCGCCTCCGATGCATAAATGCAAATACCTTGCAGCTTAATTGCAATCTCCGTGTTTATAAACCAGCTGTTTTGCATGTGGCGGCTCCTTTATTTTCCTTTTTTTTCTTTGTTTTTCAAGCCCTTGTTAGTCGCCGGCTGACATCAGAGCCACTTGTTTCGTTATAATCAAGCCTAAATTTAGACGGTGGGACAATAATTGCGCGTATAATCGTGAGAAATAGGGCGTCGCGACGGCTTGCCGTCTTTTTCGGAGGTCTCAACGTTGCGTTTGTTCTCCGGGCTCGATCGATGGCTTCTATTGAGAGTGAAAAGTTCTTTTTTTAAAACGATACCGTCATAGGAAAGTTGTGAATGTTTTTAAATAGCCTGCAACAAAAGACAAGGAGCAGCGTGGAACGTGTACAGTCCGGTAGAATATCATGACACAAAAGTCTTGCGAAATTATGTTTATGATACGTCAAATTAAAGCTTAAAATTTGTAAAAAAATATTCTGTAAATGCACCCTTAATATTCTTAATAAAAAATGGCTGATTCCGAATTAAACCAACGGAGGACTTTATATTGTCCATTACCAGACATTAAATTTTCAATTGAAGAATTAACCGTCTTATATAAAGAATATTTATGAAGCCTTTAGACAATTATTTTCATCATTCTTTATACTTTAAAGTGATATATCATAAGTGACATTCTGTGATACTTTTCTGTCATAAAATTGTTTTAGACTATCCGCGCTTCAAAATCAGCCACTTATTTTTTGAACCCCGCTATCGTCCTTTAATCTAATTAATTTATTTATTGTTGCAGGCAAAGGAAGCTGCGAACGAGCTAGAGGGCATCGACCTTACGGATCCGGATCTGCACAAAGCGGCGACAAAAATCCAAGCGAGCTTCCGGGGTCACAAGGTACGCCAGGAAGTATTATCGACTCCTGGCCAGAACGAGGAGGTGGCCAAGAAATAAATAAAATCAGACATAAGTGCTGATCATTCGAAATCGAATTGTCGATATGCCTGAAAACAACCAAGAATCAATAACAGAGCAAATCCGGGGATTCGTGTTTACTTTATCGTTTGTCCTCGACACGAAACCCTTTTCACTGATCCCTCAACAATTTCATTATGTTCTCGACACCTGAATTTGAAGGTATACCTTTTAAAATCGATAAACGTGGACAGGTATTGATTATTCGCAAATTGCCATTCCGTCGACGTGGCTCAAACGAATCGGAAGAAACACTTTGCTCGTTATGGTGCACTCGACGGATCACGTAGGGTCTCAAAACCCTTTGAGGTCGATCAACCTCGTACATTCAACAGATTTCTTGATACTAAATTTCGAAAGTGTAGATAATTTAGCTTAAGTGCATGTTTAAGTAGAAACAATAATTTTACCCTAGTCGAACTGCCATGTAACGAGTATGCGTTTCACATCTAGTCTATTGATTTTATTAATTGATTGATTGATTGATTGAAAAGTGTACATTGTTTTTAGCAGGCCTAAAAACGTTGAGTCGCTTTTTATCCTGTTATTGATCTGCTCGGCACCAGCGTTCTTGTTTATTTGTATATAAAAATTAAATTACGTTGCTTGGAATAATTGGCAAATATTTAATATAACTTTTGACATTCGAAATATTTACATTTCCAATATTTTGATATCTTTCTTTATTAATCATGTAATTTGTCATTCCAGAAGAAAATATTTAGAGCGTTGTTTCAAAGGAATTAATAATATTTCTTTATCAGAAACACACCAGATGTGTCGTTAACTGTTATTATCATTTGGTAATTATTGAACATCCCTTACAGTGCTGAGTTGATCATCATAATACTGAATTATTATCTTCTTATCAGTCTTCAGTTTTACTTGTTTATCCTGTAAATAATTTCATACAACAATCAAACAATGAAAGAAAGTTGCAAAATAATCTAAAGTCTCTTTTAATATATAAAAATGAAGCACAGTAACAATTGCTGATATTTTTCAAACAAAAGTCATTCATATGATTGAAATGATTGTGTAAGGAAGTGGTAGATGAAATTTACACTTCACTGAACCATGGGCAAACTGAAATTCCATTGTACAGTATGGGTTGTAAAAGAAAAATCGAAAATATCGTTCAGTAATGAATTGGGGAATAACGAGTAATTCTTTTATATCATTCATTATTCGTTATTGTATGCCCAATTCTCTCAGTGACTTATACATATATACAGTATATTCAATCTTGGAGGACATGAATCTCTCGAATACAATTTCTATATTCTCTCTGTTCCTGTGATTTTAATTTTAACACCGAGTGTTGCCATGATGACGATGATCAAATTTCAACCACGTTTTTTCCAACGCTATTCTTACAAATATTTCTCGCATTTTTCACATTACCTCCTAGGATACCGCTTGTAGAAAAGCTGAAAAAAATTGTATTTCTATCGTTGAAAATGTCTATGGGAATTCAGCGTGAAATCCACAAAGGAGATTAACTCGAAAGCCGATTCACACTGCGACTCCAATATATCGGCAAAAATAAAATATAAAAAAAGAATCTAATATATTAATGAATCTATTTATAATATCATATTCCTTGTTATAATAATATTTATATGCTACACCACCTAAGAGGCTCTTGTATGAATATTATTATAATCTATATTAATGCTACTAATATTGTATTTATATTATATGTGTATAATAATATTAATATTGTCATGATCTCTGTCAATGATACAAATAAGATAACTACATTTTATCATAGTGAGGATCGGCTTTGTATTTTCACGAAAAATATTACTGTTTATTTGAAGGTGGGGCATCTCAAATGAAAATTATGTTTCCAAGGATTTTTCTTGGAAGTAAATACAAGGAAAGGGATGATTTTTTAATTGCTGTGAGCAAAATTATTGTCCGAACAATTATAGTATTATAAAATATATTGAAGCTTCCGTAGTTGCAAATATTTCCCTTCGCTACTTACGGTTAGCGATTATAAAAATGAAAGAAGATTATTGTAATAAATTATAGGCATTTTCTTCGGTACTGGAAGTTACACACAAAGATTTAGATTAGTAACGCACAAGATGTTGCGGTAAATTGTACTCTAAGGATGTAACAAACGATTGTAACATTTAAACGAGCAGCATCGTATATATATGTACTCTGTTTGGTTAAAATAAATACCCTTTAAGTGTATAAAACATTTCGATCCCCCTTGTTAGGTATTTTATTCAAATAAACCCTTGATTAAAATGATCATTAATTGATGTGTAGTTTTCTGCGTATTTTTGAATAATTTGAAGATGTAGATCGCTTTTATATCTAGAATTCACACAAATATAAAGACTAAAAGTTTTATTACTAAAAGGTGACAATTAGAAGTAATTATTTTCAGTTAATAAGCTGAAAATTAAATGCAACTTTTATTTCATATAACACGTAATTTGAAATTTGCTGGCAATATTGATTTTACGACACTAGCGACATCTAGCGCTAAACGACAGAAATAACAAAGCAAAGAATTGCAATTTTCTGAAAAATGAGCGCATTTTGAGCCTCATGAGTGGTATAAGACCATTCTACGATCTCCATTTTGTATAAAAAATGGCCTTACATGTCTGCAAAATCGCTAAATTCGGAAATTGAGAAAATAGCAAAAAAGGAGCGTGCAAACACTAGCTCCGCATAGTATCGAAAGGGTGGAACTAATTTTGCCCTATCTTCCCTAGTACTAAAGTCGGCTGTGGCACTATACACCATGCGATACACCACTTCTTTCCCATGCATATTATCTTCAACGCAATATAATATAATTTAACTAATGATAAGAAAGTCCAAAGAAATTATTGTTTTATAATAAATATGTTATAAAATTATAATTTATTTAATTCAAAAATAAAAATGCAAAAAAATAATCGTGTGGTTCCGGCCGGGATCGAACTGGCGACCTTCTGCGTGTAAAGCAGACGTGATAACCGCTACACCACGGAACCGTTATGTATGTGCGTCTAAAGGATAGTATTTATTGGGTCTCATATTTTTTAATTAAATTGACATTTCTGAATATTATGTTCCAGATGTCGCATTAGTCAATGTTTATATCATTCATCCACGTGCGTTATCAAGATTATCATTATCAAAATATCGATTGTTTCTTGCATTTCTCTTAAATTTAGTCATGGGAAAAAGATATTATTGTGCCTATTGTGATAGATCCTTTAAAGATGATCCAGAGGCTAGAAAGAAGCATCTTTCTAGTTTACAGCATGCCAAAAACCGTGCAGATCATTATAATATGTTCAAAGGTATTTATATAATAAGTATAAATAGCAAATGCTGTAAAATACAATGTGTTCCTATTCTAACCTCAAATTTGTTACAGATCCAGAGGTTATATTGAGAGAAGAGTCCACAAAAACACCATGCAAACGTTATTTAACTATCGGTGACTGTGCATTTGGTCTGGGATGTAGATATTCTCATTATACACCCCCTATGATATGGGAGCTTCAGCGATTGGGTAATAAAACAATAAAATATGAAAGCAATATTATACCATGTATTCTCATTGATTGATCAATTATTTATTTCGTTTGCAGTTGCCATAAAACAACAATCAAAGCTAAATGTTATGCCAGAGCATGGCTGGCCAAACCCAGATGACATAATTAAAGAATATTTCCAAGATATCATGAATTCAAATAATACAGAGGAAATTAATTATCCAATGTGGCACAGACCATTAGAATTACATGATTATTCCATGCTGCCACCATCATTATGGCCTATTACACCAGAAAGCTTAGAAAATACCCCTACTTTCAAGGAATGGGGTTAAAAATAAAAAGCCATGAAATATAATATAAATTCATTTACAACAAACAAAAATGTATTGATTTTCATATAAGACTGAAAGTTACTATAAATAAATAGAAAAATATATGAATTAAATAAATATTCATAATTTAAACAGATGCACCATCTCCCGGGTCGAGTATGAATCATGTTCGGCCACACTCGGCGTAAACCGGTAACGTTCGTGGCTGCCATCTGTCCCTGTCATCCCCACCATTCTCGCTTGTCGGAGCGGCGCGCACGCAGACTCCTGCGCACAGTAGCGAAGCACCCGTTGCCACGATAGTTTGGCGTCGTGTTCGGCGCGCCGCCGTGTCGTTTCCTTTTAAATACAAAGGAATTCATCAATGTACGATTTATAATTGCGAGTCGCGATTATGAGATTGACTCGGTCGCGTGATACGTGTGAATTTCCGCCGGTGTGCCAAGCAGAGGACGTCGGAGGTATTTGAAACTAGCCAGTGTGTCGGCACGGCGGGACGCCGGCCCTCGATCCGTCGACTGGATTTTCGATCGCTGCTTTGATCGTACCGGTGAGTCTAAAAAATCTTTTCAACTGATATGCTTTTAACTGATAAATTGAACAAGGCACGTGATTTCCTCAAGATTGGAAACCTTAGTAATATATAATATTACCTCGTGATTATAACCACAGATAGAGATAGTAAAGCGTTCAGGTATAAAAATGCTACGCAGTAAATTCTATAAACACCTGTAGAATCGATTTCTACCATGGATCCGTAAGTTTGATTTGACAGAAGCGTCGCGTCGTTTAAATCGCGCGACGCTTACTGTTATTGGAGGGCAATTTAAATACAATAGATTGTCTCCGATTAGTTTGCGCAACCGGAACAACATTATTGCCCCTAACAATATGGCATCGTTTTACTCGAAACAAATGTAGTATGCGGCACGGTATTTACATTAACTAACAAAATTATTCAAACCATTTTCAACTATATTATCGAGATAACCGTGATTAAGCGATGTCATCAAGCTAATAGTTCCACGATGACTAGCCGATACGTTTTCTCGCATAAGAGCTGCACGATGATAACCTTTGATAATGCATGCATTATCGCGGATACGATACCTTGTTGCATATCAGATTCTTATGCGAGTGTCGTATGCAAAATTTATTTCGCTCTACACGTGCACCGCGATTTCCACATCTCGCCACTCTACTTGCCAGGAAAAGTTCACTTGAACTTGAACGATACGGTGAAAGTGTATTGCATCATTGAAAGTCAGTTTGTTGCAAAAAGTTTAAATGTGGTGTGACCAAGTGGATGGCAACGACCTGGCCCGTCGTACATGACTTACGCGCAGTCCTGTCACGATTCTCACCGGAGGTCGTGACCTTGCCGATACAGGGAATAATCAAGCGTTAGCTTGTACGGAGCCGGGTACGGGATCCGTCCCCGTGAGTCAGTTTCCCGATCGATTTCACGCGTGCACGTACTCTCGGCGTCCATTGTTGGCCTCCGTGTGCTCACAATGGACTTGTCTATTTTCGAGCAGCTGCGCTGCCCTCTTTCGAACAATACCAGCGCGGAAGACCCGCTCGCTTTTTGATTACACGTCGTCTGTGTTGCGAATGGCAGAATCGCGAGACGTAATAAAGGCAATGGAACTAAATGACGTTAAATTGGTGGGTGGCGAGTTTTTACCACTGCCGACGTTCCAACGAATTTCATCCACGAAAACACGTTTTATCAATCTGCTATAACGATCGCCCGCGCTTATTATTGTCCTTGCCAAGATTATTTCTCGATTAGATATTGTGGAGACTCGTGTCGAAGGGGAATTACAGCACGGACGTCATACGAGAAATTAGTTTCCATTTAGATTCGTTTCGTTGGAAGAGCGAGTTGGATCTAACTAGAACTGTAATTCTAGGAAGATAAATTGATCAATTCCCTAAGAAAATTATTTATACGCTTTCAAATATGTTACTATGAAATTTTTTTTATAGTAAATCGTTATATTCCAAGATACGTTATAAGAATAATAATTAATTAAAATAATCACATGCCAATAATATTTTTAAGTGAACATTTAGCATCGTCACATCTTCACGCGATATCGCGTGGACGGATATTAGTATTGACTATCCAGCACGCAATATCGCGTGATCGTTTACACTTTGTTGTTCATATTTATCAAACACCGGGGTCAATGGATATTAGTTACTTATTTTGCTAGTTGTCGATACGCCTATGACGCGTCATTCTTTCATACAATCCGATACGAGGTACGCTTATCACTTCATTGATAAGACGTTCATAGAAATAATTTTATCGTACAAAGTTTAATAACATTATTTCGCTCAGCGACTTAAATTTCATTCAAATTATTATTTGACAATTTTACAATCACGTTGATTAATTTTTAATTAATACCAGTGGGCAAGGAGAATTACATTTGCCAGAAATACTCTCGATAGTCTCTCGCGCGACTTTCACTCTCAGGTATACGCACCCTTGCAACAGGTGGTTGCTGATCAGTTATCATTCTATTCCTTGGTAATTAAAACGCGTTCTAATTAAACAAACGCATCTCTGGAAGAGCCAGGGAAGAGCTTGCCCACGAGACCGTTAGTTTGAAACGGTAACGTAGGATGTATCTGAAAGTAGATATAAATGGATTAACTGACTCATACTGACTCATAGCACTGATTTTCGGAGTATTTACAAGCCTCGCGTCTAACGAAGGTTCACTCGTCCCGTTTCCGCTAGAAACATCCTCCTACCTGCTTCTCTAATGACCCAACGAAATATTCTTTCAGGTCAGGTACTGTAGAAGATTCTACAAGGAATGTGGTTTGATTTTGTCAAAAAAAAAATTCACACCTATCAAGTGATTAGAATTTTTTTTTTTTCTTTCATTTATAATTTATTCGTGATCACGTAAAAGGGATATTGCCATGGGTCCTTTGACACCTGGTAGTTCTTACCTGACTGCATTCTCTGAAGACCTCTAAACGTTCACTCAAGGCTACTCGACTTCCTCACTGCCAGAATGTTTCACAACTTTGAATTATTCATTCAGAAGACTATGTTAAATGATAACACTTTCATTGTTCTTTCTATCACCCCTCTGGATTAACATAAATCGGCTATAACGGGCTTATTACACTGTACAAGTAGTCTCTTATCGAATTTTTATTGCATTTATTGAGATCCGAGTGTTATTGACCCATAAAATAAATCTTAAAAGGTTTTTCATTCAAATCAATGACAGTGACGTTTTTTCCTTCTGTATTAAAATATTTTTAGGTCGAATTAGAATATTTAAAAAATCAGTAGAAATCATAAGGAAGTAATAATATAAGTTTAATGACGTAGAAAGGCCATTAACATTGATTACATTTGAATGAGGTGTTGGCTTAATTAATGACGAACCATAGTTCAAACATTCCAAACAATTGGAAGTCATTAGAAAGTGGCTGAATCATGCAGAGATATTCTTGATTGGTGATTTTTAATCGACAATCTTGTTTCCTGCTCTATGAGTGATTATCGAAACTCTTACTTATTTCAAGGACGATGATTCCTTGCCAGGTAACATTCTTTTCTTACCTGTACTGTAACATACTGCTTGTTTTTGTCGATAAATGCACTGGTAAAATGCATGTGCATCGTCGTGAAAAGAAATGCGCTTCTACAAACCTGCTTTATGTTATCCTAATAATTATTAAATAGAATATTAAAATTTAATGTTGGAAGAAAACCAAAAATAAAAAAGTATTGCAATTGCAAGATGTATATGTATGCGCCGCTGCACCAATGAAAAGAAACCCACTCCCTCTTTTCTAATTCTAATTACAATGGAGACAGAACTGGTTCCTTTAATATGGACCACCCCGTATAGAAAAGTAAATTCAGGCCCCATTGGAGAGATTTGAATGCTTGAATATTGCGTTCCGTAAATGGCGTCTCGGGCAGCGAAACTGGATCTCGCATTGAAACGGCGAGAGTGATAGGTCGTCGTTGTGGTATTGCGAATAAAAAATAAGAAAAAAGAAGGGTATGAGATCCGGCATTGCGAGTTCTGGAATAAGAAGAAAGAAAGAAGCCTGGGGAATCTTGCCCCCCGAGAATCATGGCCTACCTCAAGTTTATATCTGGAATTCGAACGGGATCATTCGAACGACCAAATCATTGCGCAAACAATTACCATACTCCTCTTTCTATTTAAATTCTCAATTTTAACCGATGGTAATGAGATTAATAGATTTTTGGAATAATGTGATGCAAATTAATATTCCGATCATCAGCTCTAGTTTCAATAATGACGCATTGATAAGCGTCAGCTGTTCATCTTCGTTTCCAGGAAAATTGCGTTTCGTATGCTGATGATTCAATCGACGATTGATTAGAAGTCCAATAGAACGTTAATTCAATTGCTAATAGAATCGATCAAAATTCATAGGTTTCTCTATCCGAGATCTTTCGCTATATTAGAATTTCGTTATAATAGAAAATAAATTTTTATCTCCAACCCTTTCATTATCAATATTTCCATCGCTAACCCTTTCGCTTTTAATATTTCCATTGCTAGCCTTCACACTTCCCTTTTTATTCGACTTCAAAAAGTAGAAGGATACTCAATTCGATGAGTATATATATATAGATATATATTTTTTTTTTTTTTTTTTCATAATCAGTATTTCCGTCACTAATCCCCTGCCAATATTGCTATCAGTAACGTTAGTACGGTGAATATTCGAGGGTGAATTACGACAGTTAGAAAGGGAGAGAAATAAGACGCACGAGCGTTGCTCCCAGCAGATTTAATTCGTATCAGCAGGTTGGCTGGTAATGTCAATTTGCAGAGAGCTCGTCGACGTGCAAACAGAAAGACGTCTGCCTCGACTTTATCATATCTCGTTTCCATGCGACAATAAATTTGCACCTCCTGCTAAAATCACCGGCCTATCTTCAGCTGAATAACACAGCTCGTCTGTTAATTGTTACTTTCATGTTTAATGAAACGTACCGGGTGGTGTGATAGTCGAATTCACAGTACGTTTAGTCCAATTAGAAAGTAACAAGGAGAAATTAGCTAAAGCAAATTCTAATTTGTCGCTTTCTATCTCATTGACGAGCGATTCGCGTTCTTTCAACGCGATTGAATACACAACAGGCCCGTCTCGTTATTCATTTTTCCAACACCTGTTTAACGGAAAATCCACGGAATCCCATGAATAATTGATGATGTAAATCCTGTGATATGAGTCACCAGGATGCATTCCGAATTTCCCAGTCACATTTCCATGGAACTGGGGGTGAAACCAGGCGACCAGGAAGAAGGATGCAGTGCAATGACCTCGACCACGAGATGATCTCACGTGCTGGAAAGGGTGACCACCGCGAGAGCGTGTATGGTTTCTTTGATGGACGAGAGGAATTCACGGAAATGAAGGCGCGAAGCCTGCTGGTAATATATTACGGAAGTTATTACACCATAGAGATTTCTTTTTTGCTGCGACCACGCGGTTATAGCCCGAGGATGACACTACGGGGTTGCT